AAGTCCCCACAGTTAAACCTTTTTTGGCGACGATTGTTTCCCCTTGTATTTCTTTACGCTAATTCTATGCTTATCCATTTACGCCTAGGCTAGTCTGTTAGAGAATTTAGGATATGCCAAGAAGGTCACCGAAACCATTTCAACGAAAATGAAAGAGGGCTAAATATATTGAGTTTCAAGCAATAAAACAAGGAAAATCTATTCATTCACCATTCTTCGGTGTCAAAGGCGAGAAAATCTATCTTTAAAACAGACCCGCGTGGAACCATAATCGTCCAAACGCAATTAGCATTGTTGGGGTAACTGCGTGGGTAAAATGGAGAGGAAAAGTATCCAGATGGAGGAGCAAGTGGACCTCCGCATACCCCTGAAAAACAGAAATAAATAATCTCCAATATCTTAAAAATATTGTCGTGCAATAAAAGAAAAACAATATCAAAACAAAAGTTCGTTTATCATGCACTCAGTTCGATGGCTAGAGAATCATTTAGATTTGTGTGGCGTGTTTGATAGTTAAGGAATTTTATGTTGTATTCATAATTTCGAATTTTCGGCAATGTTTCTATAAAGGGTTGTTTTAATGCCTCTTTTATAACTGATCCGTGATCCTCCTCTTTTGATTAATTAATTTGCGATATTGAATTTTAACTGAATAGTCCCAAAGTGGACGAATTGTGAAGGAATATTCGGAAATCCATACGACCTACAAAAAAGGTTTGGGCATCAACATTTAACCTTTCCGACTTGGAGTGTTACTGTAATACAAGCCAATGTAACTGCCAAGAAATGCTCATCCGATATCTTATAATTTACAGCAAACAAAATTTTCAACCGGTGATTAGTTTCATAATTACCGGGTAGAATTGGGGCTGTAGTTGGTGCTGTGGTCGGCACAGTTGTCGGAACTGTCGTCGGGAGTGTCGTCGGAGGTGCAGTGGTCGTGGTTGGTGGTGCTGTGGTCGTTATGGGTTGAGTCGTCGGAAGAGGTGGACCATTACATAACGGAGTACTACAGCAACTGATGGAACACGATCTCAATGCACCAGATCGAGATTGGTTCAAAAACACGCATGCTCGGTTCTGAGTGCAGAAGAATTCAGGAATACATCCTTTTCTTGTCACAGACTTGTTCAGGGCGGTATCAAAAGCATGTACGGAGTAACAGCTACGGCCGGGTCTGCAGCCACTACCTGGAGTCTGAGTTATGGAACAATTCTCGGAGCAAATGTAACATTTCAAGCCTGTGGGAGCTACTGGAGCTGGAAAACGAGTTTGACGAATAATTGTAACAGAAAAAATTGTAAAATGAAGAAAGAAGGATAATTTGGGAAGAAGAAACTTGAAAGGATCACAAACTCACGCTGCCTTGTTTTGCCATTACCTGTGTGTCATTTTGATAACAACTTGAAAACAAAAACCAGAAAACAAAAAAAAAAACAAAAAAATGTTTTGCTGAAAACTGCGTGTTGTCACTGCCAAATTACAATAACACTCAGACATGATTCATATGCGACCTTTAGTATCAATTTCAAACATAAACCAACAGGCAGTCAAAAGGTATGGGTAAAGTTACTTTGCATAAGACTGGGTTATCTTGATTTGAAATAAAACTCTCCCAAATACTTAGTAGAAATTTGAGGGGAAATAAACTGACCAGATTTTGGGTTTAAAAGGGTCCAATGATCTAACACACAGAATAAACACGTAACCTCAAGGCAACTCGTGTTTTTATATTGGTTCAATTCCATTTGTGATTTCATACCTTGTTCTTGGTGTTTAAGGAAATGATCATTATCCGTATCCACCAAATTAGGATGTGGTGCGGATTCTACGGTACATGTGAATGTTATCACCGCCTACCAAAATTTGAAAGTTTTCATTAGAATTGCCGACAGTTATGGAATGAAGTCTACATGGTGTCTGGAAGGAAAAGTTGTGCTGTTACCTCTACTATATAATGCATTGCTTAGGTCAGAGTCAAGAATCGTTACTTTAAACCATTCTTCCAAACTACATTTTATAATTTTGCATTTGAATTCTTTGCCAGAAAATATAAATAACTACCTAAAATGCTTAGCCATTAAAGCAGAAGTCCTTATGGCGATATACATATAACGATATGGGCGTGCCAAAATTCATAAGGTAGGAAGAGAAAGTTTACAAAACTTGCCCAGTTGTAATATAAAAACGAGCATTAAAACTTCTGGTAAATGAAAATTCCTCGATAGTTTTGGGCAGATAAATTATTGCTGTTGCCATTTAATCAAGTTTACTTTTTTTGTTTTACACTTGAAAAAATACAAGTGAGCAGATCATGAGCGAATGAAGTTTCCGCGCGCTGCATGCGTGGAAAAAGTTGTACAAGAAAAGGGGCTGTTTATTGCCTCGATGACAAATTGATAGATTTCAAATATTGTGATAGAAAAGAAAAATGATGAATGATTTAAGTTAGGCGAGACTGAAAAAAAATGCATTGTCTATAATTATATTGTTATTTGGATTGTAGCGGCTTTGAAGGAAGTACGTGTTTGGCAAATAAGTGATCAAAGAACTGAGTTCAAGAGTTATGAGACTGGCTGGACTTAACGAGTCTCGCATGGAAAAATCTGTTATCAGAAAACTCTATTCTCTACAGTCGCAAAACTGAAAAAAGAAAACAACTGCTTTCATCTAAAGTGGAATAGGTAATATGTAGCACAAACTATCGATAGCAATTGTGCATAGCCATGCAGTTTGTGTCAAAAAATAGATTGATACTAAAGTAGAAGAGTGCAGTTGAAGTTTTCATACAAACAATCGACAAGAACGTGATGAACTTTTTTGCTTACCGTCAAGGCGAGGAGGAAAGAATTCATCTTCTGTTGTCCGTAAAATTGTCTCGTTACACACCTCAGGTCTTCTGGAGATGGCCAGGTTTGATACTCGATTTATAAACACGATATATATAGTCTCTATCGGCCAATCAGAAACTTTGATGATATTGAGGGACTCTTACAAATTTGTGCAGCAATACCGAATTAATCGCCACCAATCCTGCTCCTCAGTGTTATTTTTAGTTGACTCTTTTTTCTTAAGTAGGTTTTAATCGGCGTCACTAATATTTTACTTAGCAAGCGACAAACTTAAACGCATCACCGACATCAATACTGAAAAGGGGCTTTGCCACTTTTTGCCGCGTAAAATAATTTACATAAAAATCTCTGTAGCTCTTTAAGCTAGCGAGGATGAATATCATCATGGAAGGAAACATGACCAAAGGGCATTGACATTAGTTTACATATGTTTGTGTTTCTTTGGTAGATTATACCAAATTGCTTTAAATTGTTCGGATTTACTGAAACTAACAATTTAATCACTAAATTTAATTTAATTACTTAACACTATATCTATTTTTCCTGGAGTAGACATTTAACAAACCGTAAGAGATAGAAATGCCTTAATTGTAGAAATATTGCAATTTATTTAAATTTAACAAAGAAATCATTGAAATATCCCAACTGCCACCGAGCTAGTATAATTAAGTAGCATTTGGGAAGATCTCTTTGATCTAAAGCGCGCCACATTTCTTCAAAACAAATATCCACTTACTGCCTAACGAGGGCCATCGGATTTTTTTACATCCCTCCACTTAAACAAATCAACCCTCTCGAGGACTTCCGTGCAAGCATATCCTCATTTAGAAAAATATTGGGAAGATTTCACAAACTAAATTAAATTTTCTCTAACTCCAAAAGTATAATTAATTCTGATAATGATCTAAACATCAAGGTTACACTTTCAATTGAGCATTTCAACAGTTTATATCTATATTTGGCGAAATTGCTGGTACAAATTTACCTTTAGATATAAACATTCCATAACAATTCATCGAGAAATATAAAATCATCAACTATATTTAGATCGTTTATTTGGGTGTAAGATTCAGACAAAAGAAGAACGCAAACATTGAAAATGCTTCACCTTATGTTGGACCAGGTTGGATTGGATTGAATAACATGCCGTATGAATAAACAGGTCTCTGCCTTTGACTTTTTGAAAATTCTTCTTTTTTTTTGACATCTGACAAGTCTTTCTGCTTTGAGAATGTCTTCATACCCCAGTTAAGACTGGTAAACGAGCATATATTAAATTTGCAAAATTTACAACCCACTTGTTGTACCCAAAGCCAGAGCAAGTCAAGTCAAGCCGAATTTTAAAATTCAGACATCTTCGTCATACTGTTCATTTGCAAGAGTCTTAACAATATCGTTTTTCAAGATGTTCTTTATTTCAATCGCTTTTTTGTTCTGATTTTTTTACCTTCCTTTAACATGCATGCATGACCGGCCTATTCTCCCTTCACTCTCACAAGTGAGAACAATTTAAACAAAAAATGAAGCTTAGAATTAACCTAATAATGAAAATCTTTACAGTTTCCTTCAATTCACCGAGCTAAATTAAAGCACATGGGAACATGCTTCGACGTAATTAATGTATTAGAGTTTGCTTGAGTCGTTACTTCGTAACACGTCTAATTAACCTCCTTACTCTAAGAAACTCTTGTCATAGATTGAATTATAAGAGCCTTTTTAATTTTTTTTTGTCTGGACAAGTTGCGGAAATTCTATGTATTGCTCATAAAAGGAGTGTGCATAATTGTGTACAGTGAATAGTGCTTCATCAGGCAAAGGCTCTGCTTGCTCTTGGATCTATCAACTTAATTACGGTTGTATAGCCTTTCATTCAACTGATTTCAGTAAAAATCGAGAGTTTTAGATCGCACCAATTTATGGAGAAAGGAAAATGTTTCTGTATAGAGCTTTTATATCGATCATTAAATATTCAGTTTCAAATGTAAGTAGCTGCTACATGTTTTAGCTGATGTGATTAACAAAGATAAATTGGTTAAAACAAGCTGGACTACAAATGTGCTCAGAATAAAGGAGAAGTGACATTTCACTAAAGTAAAGTTCGTGGCTTGCTAATTGCAGACTCTTCTTAACTATTGGGTCTACTGAGGTCAAAATGTTATTTCTTCCTTTCCGACTGCTTCGGTCTGCAAAAGCTCGAATAAGACTATTTTTTCTGATTGTTATGATGTAATTTGACCATGGATAGTAAAAAAAGACAAATAATTTTTTGTGCAGAAATTCAGCTATAGAGAGATCTATCCTCTGTGATCCGACAGATCTTTTATGTTATTAATGATATTTAATCTTGTCTTGGCTTTACTTTAGACAAGAGCATAATAGTCAATCGAATTTCAGTAACTCTGTCACATCTCAGCATAGTAAGCTCTTCTAAAAAATGCAACAAAAGATAAAATGACTCATTTTTCCTGATTTAAGTTCTTAACTTCCAATTTATTTTTAGATAGAAAATCTCTCGGGAAAAGTGTCTTTCAAAATTATTCATTAAGATTTGGAGACGAAGACAAAAAAAATATTAGCCTCAACGACGTTTTACAAGCTGACACAAATACAATTTCCTTCAAATTTTTCATAATTATTTGCTTTTTTTAATCTTGATAGTTAAATGTCTAGTCAACAGTCTACATTACTTTTAATAATACTTATTAATAATATTTATTACTATTTATTCATCATTTATCTATGTCTCCTTTCCCAGAATTGAAGAATTCCTCATTTTCCTGTGAATGAGCTGAATACCGGTGGACTTATGATTTCTCAGAATTCTGTAGTTAAATTGACCTTAATTTATTTGAAACCTTCACGAGTTTCTTGCTCGATTATTTAAGATCAATTTTTTTAGCCGTGACATGCTCTCTACAAAACTTTCGTTTGACTGGATATCAAGGTACAACATTTCGAGTGGTTCTCTCATTTCTTCAGGTTGATATTTTAGTGACTTTTTGTCCCACCAGCACTGGATGTGCTTGGGAACATTTTTGTTTACAATCTTTGCAAAACAAAAATTACGAAGTTTAAGGCTGTATCGTATATTTTTTATGCTGCGATAAGGTAAAAACCAATTGTCTTCCAGTGATATTCATGATAAGGCCAAAAATAGCGTCCGGAAATTCAACCTAAGACATAAGAGGCCGATAAAATCCTTGGATATTTGTCTCGTAGGGCCGAAAAGGGTGAAAAATAGTTTACATCGCGTTTCCAACCTTCCTCCTGAACGTCTTGGCGTTTATTTTAAAGAGAAACGTCACCTCAGGAGCTTGGAGGGTAGCCTGCCCCTTGAATCATTGTCTTACGCTCTTTATGTGCTCGTTATAAAAACCTTTTTATGAAGTTTTGCTTTTCAACAACTTCTACTCCTAACATCTATAGCGTAATATATTAGCAATTCTCTTATCGATTCACCTTAGCTTTTTAACATTTTAAAGACACTCAGGCCTCAACGAGATCAGATTTATGAGAAAAAAAAAGCAAATGGAGGCTTGCGTCATCATTTTAAGAGGAATGATGTCATTAATGAAGTTGAAGAAAAAAAAAAAGTATGTACGTTTTTGGACTTTGATAGCGCAATATATAAAACCTTTTGACGGCTTGACAATTCTTTATCAGAAATTTAAGCCATCCATTCCAATCTTCAACTATATAGTTAAGTATGAAATATTTTAGGTTTTGAAGGAAACAGCAGAGACTATATGTCGACATGGTTTACGTTAATGGGTTTAGCGAGAGGATATTCCTCAAGTTCGCAGTTGATCAAATCATTCCGTGCACTTGGCAATTAGTATTAGCTTTTGTAAACAATAGTGTTTTCCCCCTAACCCTGAGTGAACTCTAACAGTCGTAAAATGTTAGATACATTACAGAGAGAAATGATGTTATGCAAAGGACAATGAAATCATTTCTTCATAGTGACCATATTGTCTGCCGTGAAATAATTGCTAGAATTTAAGGGTTGATGCAGCTATCTTTAGTTTGTAGCGGTACAACGGATCTGCAAAGGCCAGACCGACACTTGAATTTTTAAGTGGAGGAAAGCACGCCTCATATTGCTGTTGCATTGGAGAACCATATCATTGGTTGTTGAGCATATAAAACGCAAGTTAATTGGCAAATTTTAGAAAACTGAGTAAACAAGGAACCGTAGCAAGTTGTCAAGCAAAAATGAAGGCTCCCCCAACTGCACTGACGGTAAGCCTTAAAATATATTATTTCTCTCCGATTGTTTTTGAGGAACTTTGGAAGTGTTGCTCGTAAACATTTCTCACGAATTCCCAGTTGTCAATTAGCTTTAGGTGGATAAAGGATAACGTTGAGCAAACATTGGTGTAGAGGTAAACCGTCTTTTAGTAAGGATAACTCGCTGCTGCTACTATTATAATATATCCCATAGGAACCTACATTCAGAGTTGTTTTACTTCATGAAGCTCTCAATTTAAGTTGTTGTCCCGTTTGGAGCATCATCACAGAAATAGCAGTTACTAATCAGAAAAGAAACAATTTAAAGCGAGATAAGCGGGGGAGTTCAGGACGTGTCTCTCTGAAGATATTAGTTCTTACGCAGAATTGCGCCTTTTAGGCATTTTTATAAATAAATTATTCTAATCAGCTCAGCTTTAGAGTGCCTGATTGTTTGTAGTTTGAACAATCACTGATTGTTTTGAACCTATCACAACACAGTATTAGCTCCCCATTTTCCGTAGTAAACATCATAAAATTCAAACATGCATCGCCAATCAATGTCATACCCCAGTATGTTAGTTCAAAGTTGAATTGTTACAACTGTACAACGCCAAGACTAAAAAAAAATAAAAATGGACAGGTTCGCAATATAACCGTTTTACTTTCAAAAGTATAAGTGAAAAAAAAAAAAAAAAAAGAGAGAGAGAGAGCGATATTTGACTGATTATATGAAGCCGATGTGTGTGAGATAATGAACATTTTGCGTTGCCATTCTGAGCGAAATACTACAGTGTTACCGTATCTTAACACACGCTTAAAACAAAGTTGCTTTAATTAAACATATAATTCAAAGTATCTCACCTTTGAGAGAACTTAACTAGTAGTCTTCCCTAAAGCATAATTACTTCTCACAGGAACTAAAAGGCGCCGGTAATTCATTGGTTTCTCCAGCGTATAATTAACAACGTAAGCTTTCAAAAAGACCCTAAAGTTTCCATCCACATGAGAAAGCTTAATATTTGTTTTTAGACCTATAGAGTGACTGATCAATCCCCTTCAATATTCGTTGATTTTTACCTTTCCTTATATTTTTTGGCCTCTTGACTTCAAGAAAGGATAATTTAGCCTGAGAAATTTAACGTGTCAGCATAAGGATATGAAGATAAAACAACTTGAATAGATTGGAATGTCGGAGTAATTACAAGATCCTTCCACGGTGTTCACCATCCACGGTGTTCACCATCCACGGTGTTCACCATCCACGGTGTTGACCATCCACGGTGTTGACCATCATACAATGTTTCGTATTGCCCAGTGAACTGAAATTGCTGTCGAAAGCAAAAGCCTTCAGATAACTTAAAGACATATTGAGGATAGCTTTCAAAATTGAAAACAATACGGTATTGATTACTTATTACAATGAAACAGAAGAACAAGATGGTTGGTGAAATCCTTCCCTAACAGGCGTCGGTGTGATGTACGTGAGCTGAACATCAACTGCTTTTAAAACTTCGTCCGTGAAAATTCTTCTCATTCTGGTCTTTTAGTCGCTCACTTAACCCTTTGCGCGAAAAAGATTGGATTCAGCACGTTGCTATAGGACCTAGAGACTCTTGGACTGTATTGAATTTCTATTAAAAAACTTCTAACTGCCATGCGCAGAATAACTTAATATACGAAACGAACACGTAAGTGAGCCAATATTCGTCTTCCCAGAATTGTTGACATCAGTGATAACTGGGATATTAGACCACTGGCCTGGTTAAAATTACAATATAAAGTGATATATCATATTGTCTCTGACAAACAGTGTGGGGTAGCAATAATCAATTATCTTTTTTTTTTCCGTAGTTAGTGCTGGCATGCATTACAGTGACACAGTCATTACCTTTTCCTAGTCCAACCACGAGACCGCCTCCTAAACCAGGTGAAGCTGTGGGGTGATTTTATGAATCGCACAAATGTCGCTGGGCATGTTACGTTAAAAAATCCAGTACAGTTAATGGCTTTTCACAATACTCATTTCTCCACTGGTTATCAACAAAAAAAGCTTAACATAGGCTGCGAAGGTTTTAGAAAGGTTCAGGGACCTAAAATCCAAGCTAGAATCCATGAATCCATAGTGTGGAAGATACAGTTGACGTAAAACAAAAGAGAACAAAAATACAAAACTATGAAACAATAAGGAAAACAATGAAAACAATAGGTTCATGAAGTTGTGTTTTAGTTGTGAAGTGTCCTGTGTCTTCCATTACAGGATTGAGCCAGTTAACTCGATCAAAACTGATCATTTATCAGGAGTAATGATACACTCTCAGAATAATATATTTTGTAAATTATGAGATTGTTTGCTGAATGGGAAAATATGTTATTCCTCTTATTAACGTTCAAATCTTCTTTAAATTTCTCAGTGGCACCAGGGCAATGCGGCGGTGCTTTAGTGGGCCCATCCGGGAACTTAGCATCTCCTAATTACCCTGGTAACTACCCCAGCAACGCTTATTGTGTGTGGACCGTAACAGTGCCTCCGGGCTCACAATTCAGGATTGACTTTCTCTTCTTTGAAACAGAACCTTGGTAAGTTAAAATTTTTTTTGGTAAACACCTCAGGTTTTTTTTAAGCCTTTTTTTCTTTGTCAGCTTTTTTTTTCTTCTTTGCATTATCACTGAGGTTATAGAGCGTCGAAGGGGTTGCAATATTGCGCTCTCTTGAAATTTGAAATTTTTTGAGGCAATGGATTTGTGCTTTGCCTGCTTGTGCATTTGTTGCTTTAGTGGTCGCTATAATCATTATTATTGTTATCCTGACAATGATCATTTTTTATTGATCATTATTATTGATCATTGTCATTATCATTGTCATTATCATCATCATTATTGATCATTTTATTGCAGCTATGATTTGGTTAAAGTCTATCAGGGAAGGAGGCTGATCCGTCGTCTGACACGAGGAGGAGAATCTGAGGACGATAAATATTTCAAGGATAAAAACGATGATAACGATGATGACGAGTGTGATGACGATGATGATGATGACGACGACGACTACGATGACGACAACGATAAAAATGGAAAAAGAAATTACATGTTTGCCGAGCCTCTGAGAGCAGACAGAAAAGCGAAAGTCGTCTCTGTTCATGGTAATGGGGAACCCGTGAGAATTGTGTTCAAATCCGATCCATGGGTGACAAGGAGAGGATTCTTTGCCCACTACACTATGGGGAAAGGTAAGACACGTGCGCACATTAATCAAATCAAGATATCATCCGATTCAATAAAGATGCAGCTATCCTTAGTCTTATTATCAACGGGCTCAATGGATATCTGCTGCTAACTTTTTGACCTATAATAACGATACGTGAACAATATCGCGTAGATCCGACTTTATTGTCACAAGAATAAAGGAAATGATCTCTAACAAAAGAAGGTTGTTGAACAAATTTTCCTTGTAAACACCCTAGGAAATTTATTGGGAACTGTATGAAGAGTATGAGTACTTATTTTAGGATGTAGAGGTTTGTTATAACATATTGACTTTTAATCTCCTGAATCTCCTTGACCTAACAATCTATTCTCTCTTTTAGCCCTTTGTGGCGGTCCTTTGGCTCCAGCATCCGGGAACATTACCTCTCCCGGTTTTCCAGCAAATTATCCGAACGATGTTGAATGTAGATGGACTATCAGAGTTCCTCTTGGATCCACATTGGTTTTAAATTTTCGGGCCTTTGAAACTGAGCGGTGGTGAGTCGACTGTTCTTCATCAAGTTGTAGAGAAGGGAGCTAATAGAAACCATCCATGTGAAGTGATGCGGCTTTTGTTATTAGTTAAAGCGAATGTTTCTGTTTCAGTTCAAGGTTTGGAAACAAAAGGAAAAAAGTTACTCTTAAAAAATTTCAAACAAGAACTATTTAGACCCTAGCAAAGGAGAAAATAAAACCTTAATCTTTTCAATACTTCTTTAAAAGAGGTAAACTTTATTTACATTGGCAACAATAAGCAAAAAGGCTTTGTATCCTTGTATCGTCATTTTCTTATGAGCGACATATTGTAAGTATGGTTCTATTTCCCTTCGTGTTTGTTTAACGTAACCTGGCTGAACTAGAGGTTAAATCGAAAACTTTACAGTCAAATCGTATCAAGGTTCCACGCTTTTATCGTTTGGGTGAGTGCGTCAATTTTCCTCTTTTATCTAAATTTCGAAAGCAAAAGAGTGAATAAAATTCTGGGTAATGTAATCTCGTTTCATAAAAATTACTTAGAAAGTCGAATTGTGATTAAGGGTTGTGTGTTGAAAACTTTGCTGATTGTTGTCATCAGCTTTCAGTTCAGCATATCTTATAGCTGTTAGCAAAAGCTTTTTCCCCTTTTGTATCGGTAGTTACATTTTTTTCTTGCAGTTTTGATCACGTCAAGATTCTCCGTGGCTTTCGAGAGATACGTAGTTTAAGTGGCATATACGGGGCTTATTCGTGGTTTACAGGGAGACACGACGATTTCTTAGACGATGATTGTGAAGATGACGACGATGATGATGACGATGGCGACGACGATGACGATGAAGACTGGAAGAAAAAATTCCGTTTTGGATTCGGAATGACAAGATTTTATGGTTTTCCATTCCTGCCTCGAGTTTACATCCTGGGAAATGGCGAACAGATATCGGTTAATTTCAAGTCCGACAAGATAATCACCTTCAAAGGATTTGATGCCACTTATCGAGTTGTACGAGGTAACGTGCTCTTCGTTCTTGATATTCTGAAGGTACAAATAAGAATAAGAAAATTATGCACAAAAAGGCAGCGCTGATTGTAAAACATTAGAACCAATATGGCTGCAATAGTTTATTGAGGGGAGGACGCTGGTGGGTTTAATTTCCTTTTCTTTATTTTTAGCAAAATAGGAGTAAATAATTGACTCGGCAATTACTTTGGAAAGGTTGGTTTTGGACTTCTTGCCTACTGAGAGTATATTGAGCCCAACTTTCTTGCCCCCCCCCCCTAACTATGGACAGTATCTGAGAAAATACGTGGTACAAAACCGAGCATTGTCCATTGCTTGGGTCTTTTGATACGCTGCGAAACCAAAAGACCTTTTCTATGAATTAAATCATGTATTTAGCAGTTGCTAAAAAATTGTAAGGAAAAATGAAGATGAAGTTGACGACAACAGAAAGAATGGCAGGGTTTAAATACTGTTCTAGTATTAATGAAATACAAAGAAATTTCTATTGGTTTATTGGGGTGATCACATGACCTCCCAAAACATGACCTTTGGATTGGCTCTGACTAATCAAAGCAAGCGTAACATCGCATTATTTCCTCCACAAACTTCAACTTGACTCATGCGTTTTCTTTTCAGGTCCAGTGGAAGGAAAGTGATCAGTGATGCCTGTAGAACGAACACTTTTGATCAATGACGTGATAAGATTTCTCTCGATGTTTATGTCTCTGCCCTTAAATATCGGTTGTTCTTTGTTCGCTTTTATGTGACCTTCAAAAGTTTCTCTTCCTACATGTTGTTGACAATATATGTTGAACTAATGTGAAAAAAACAACTTTTATCCAGTTTTCTTGCATATGAGATTTACGCGACGTGCGAGATTTACTGTCAAAGTTTTCAATCTGGAAATAGATACCACCCTTCTTGTAAAATTGTTGAAAGAAAAAGGGCACAGTAGAGATGTAACGTGCATTGTATTCAAACTCAAATGAGTAATAAAAAGGCAACTTACAGCGGCGCTAATGAGAAATGAATAATTAAACTAACGACAACCTTGATGAATCGTATGTTGCCGAGGGCGATGCACACTTCAGTTAGCAGACTATTTCTGAGAGGTAATTTCTCACCAGCATATTGTCACTGATGCTAAATTGCAATCTACGATTCAGCCTCTGTTTTTCTGCGTGTATTATACCCTTGAGTTCAAAGGCATCTCTTCGATGGACAAGTTGCCCCAGTGAAAGAAATAACCAATAAAGGATGCAGCCGAAGAAATAGAAGACGAACAAGCTAAGAGGGCTTGTGAGGTGTTTGAAGGTATGCATTCTGTGTTACTCAAGGTAGCATTATAATACCTATTATATCGCTGTTATTTTGTAATATATTTGGATTTGAATAATTCAGATTTGACTACCAATATCATCGAAGTTTATTTAATTCTGTCAGTTGCAAGGCTCTCAGTTTCATTCTCAAGTCTTTGATGGAACAAATGGTAAAGAGATAATTGATCACACACCAGAATCTTGCAGTAATGTCAGGCTGAGAGACTAAAGCAGGATACCGACTATAACTCCCCAATCCCTCTTCCTTTCTCCTTCCTTCCCCCTTCCCTTCTCCCTCAAGCGCTCATAATTTTTGCTATGTTTCGTTTTACATCATTGAACCCGTTACTTTTGCAAATCACAATTTATTGCATCTGTCAGTGTATGTCTTCTAATCGTTTAAAGGGACATAAACAAAACAAGGAACGAGAGACAAACGTTTGTAAGAAAGCTAGGTTTAGCCTCAAATACATGAATCAATACATATCTTGTCACAAGATAATATGATTGTGCTTATATCCTCTTGCTTTTTACGGTCTTTTCGCTCTCTGGACAATCAAGCAAAGCTTATTACAATATTAGGGAAATCTCAGTGCGAGTTACAGTACAACTTGCTGTCTATCGGACTAAAAAGATAGACCTCTTTAAAACGTATCAGAAATAGGTAAGGGAAAAGCTTAGTAGGAATCATCAACGATCGTCGTCGTCTTCACGACCTGAAAATTGATAAAACGGCATTGGGTTAGTAGATGCCGGATAGGTTTAGCATTGGTTCCAGATGATCAAATTGTGATCATTATCCCTTGGTTTTGACATGTTTAGATACACTGAAAATGGTGGCCTATAAGTTTAGTTATGGCTTCTGGTTTGATACAGATTAGATACGACAAGGATCTATCAACTCATCGATAAAATTAATTAATTAAAAAATAAACCTTAAATTCTTACGTTTTTTATTCGTGACTTTGAGATAAAATCCTCCGTTCTGGCCATCATTGCTATCGGAAGTAAATGTAACTATTATGGGTTCATTACTTTGAGATCCACAAATGTGTTCAAATCTATTTCTCGGCGCCCTTGGATAAATGGATGAGAAGTATTCGTCATAGGCTTTCTCCAAATCATTTAATTCAATTTTTTCAAATTGGGAAAAACCATAAGGAGAATTAGGGCCAGCAACTTCATCATCGTCATCATCATCATCATCATCATCATCATCCTTGCTACACCCATATTTGGACCGCTTAAGTCGGGAATCACCATTTAGGCTTAAAAGTTCTCGGCCCCCTTGCTCGAAAGTTAAGGTATCCCTGCAAAAGAATTATAATTTATAAATAAACAAACATTTGTATAAAACCATGTTTAGCACTCTACTGATGTAAGTTTTTCAAACAAAATTTTCCATTCAGACCACATATTTTTATCCCGATTGGGTATAGAAAAGTTACCATACTCGAATGGTCCATTATTGCTTCATAGAAGAACAGCCATCAGTTGACGGGCGTATATTCATGCTGTTGGTTGTGATAAAGAAATTATAATGATGATAATAATGATATACACACACAAAACGCTTACCCTGGTCCAAGGTCGAACCTCCGAAACTCTAGTCTAAGATAACGGTGTTCTCCAAGAGTACCAAGATCCCAGGTTCTGGTGGTGTCAGGTGGATAACTGTCAGGGTAACCAGGCGATCTAAGGACTACAGTTTGGCCTGTGAACAAACATGTATAGACATTTTTAATTGTAAGAGATTTTCACCGTTTCTGATGTTTTGATATGAATGCTAATCAGTGGCTCCATGCCTGAAAAATTATTCCTAATCACGATAAGCTTTTTCCTTTCCGCGTGTCTGTTTTCCATTTTTCTTTCTTTCAACTGACCGTTGACGAATGACACTAATTCCGTTAATGATTCTATAAATAGCAATTTCAGCGACATTTTCAAAAGCATAACGTCGACATTACGAAATCTTTACTTTATACTCAAAAAATTATTTTCTCAGCATCTGCAAAATTTGTACGTGGCCCTGTAGATCTTCACGTTACTTATGCACACTTTAAAGTATGAATTAGGAAAACAGAAATTACTCATGCCCATTTTTTTTTTTTTGCTTAATTAGATCTATGTTGTTGGTTGATCTCGCCCTCTCTTTCCTTTCTCTTACTTAAATGAATTTTCTTACTCGAAAGGTAACTGATAAACGTCCTGTTTGGGTAAAAGCTGTACTTAGAGATTTTAGTCACCTGGTGTAATTGTAATCATTGTCGGTGCGGGTGTGGTAGGTGCGGCGGTAGTCGTTGGTGCCGATGTCGTCGTCGGCGCCTCGGTGGTCGTTGGTGCCTCTGTCGTCGTCGGCGCCTCAGTGGTCGTAGGTGCCTCGGTGGTGGTCGGAGCCTCTGTGGTTGTTGATGTAGTAGTGTTCGGTCCTTCGGTCATTGTGGTCGGCGTAACTGCTGCATTGCATAAATTGGTAGAGCAACATTCTAACATACAAGATGTCAGGTTTCCTTCCAAGGTATCGTTACGCGAATTGCATAAAGTGTTTCCAGAGCAAAAAATTGTCGCGAAACAAAACTTAAGAAGGCCTGGCTGATTTTGATTATCAACCGTATTTATAGTCACACAGGAAAATCCTGGATCACAGTTGTCCACGCGTTCATTAGAACAAGAATTATCCACGCAAGCGGCGCACATCAGATTGGACTCTATCAAAAGAAATATACAAATCAATGATTGATTCTAGCCAGGAAGCTTTAATCAAGAAAGAAGATGATCCTGGTGGGTGGACTGCAATTTTAGCAATTGCAGAAAAGGGATTTAAATTTGTTAGTTAGGCGCCTCTACTGACCGAAAGACGAGGCCCTGAATAGGAGTGAGACAAAAAAGTGCTTTACTCCACGATTATTTCGCGTCTAGCAAGATTTGCCCGTGATCCTATCGTACTACAAAATAGTCTTAAGGAATAATTTTATTCATTAAGTAAGGATAGAAAATCTGGATGAATACTGCCGTCGTAATTTTGACTGAAATCAAGAACAAGAAGAACAACGGAAGCAACAACACGGAAAAAAGAAACAACAAATAAGAAAAAAACAATACTCAAACAAAAAAGCAAGAAAAGAAAACCTAAACATAAAGGCAAACTAAAGGAAAAAATTGAAGGGCTGTACTTTTGACTTCCTCTTTTCAGGAAAGCCTGGTGAAATGATATGCAGGGGGAAG